ATTTCTTATTCAGGTGGAGAGAAGAATGGCTCAATTGAATCGATTAAGGTAATTCCCTCGAGGAACCTTTTCTCAGCTGTCTCCAATGCATAACTTTTTACCGAAGATTTCTCTTTAATTCCAATTTATCATTTTGATTTGTTTGCCCGGGGGTCTTGGAACTTACGTTTGACTTTAAATATTTTGCATAGAGGTTACTTAAGTGTTGGTAGGTTGTTGTGGACGTGTTAATTCTAGCTAAATGCTGACTCATTTTAGATATCGTAACTTTATATTTTTTTATGTGCGAAAACTTGGCTTAGTGATATGTACATATAGTTAAGTCTTTTAGTTGTTAGTCCTTAGCGAAAAAAAAGTAAGTATACAGATATGTAAATTTAAAGCAAGTCGTTAAATTAAACATATTAAATCATACATATCTTTTCTTCAAAACTTGTGACTTGCAAGACGTTCAGGCCGTCAGAACTTCACAAGTTCAGAATCAGTCATTCAGTTTGAATCCTTGTACGGGTAAAAATGTTCCTATAGTTTGCTTATCAATATCCAAATGGGGTATCTCATTCTCATTCAAATGAGTCCCACTTCGTGACCATCTCTATATCTATGTTCATATATCTCTGTAGAACCCTATGCGATGACTAATCCAAGCAGATATCGGAAGTGTAAGGCCCATTATGGCTTAAACGCGATGCAGGAGCAAAGAGATTTGAATGCGGCTCACACTTTTGGCCGAGTCGGCAATTGCGGCCATAAACAGGCCGAGCACGCCTCAAACTAAACAAAGGTAGATATTACTTTACTTTTTGGGAGGGAGTGGACTTTTTTGAGGGAAGTCAATGAAGGGGAGGTGTGCTGTTGGGCGAAGCGGAAATATTCCCACGAATCGATAATGACATTTAATAATTATTTAATATAATGCGGCCGATAAAAATGGTGGTCATCTACCAGAGAAAAAAACAGCTGCATATTAAATCGATAAGAACAGACAAACGAGGCTTTGTAAAAGCCTATATATTCTTGTTGAATACAAATGAATTATAATTTTGTTTAGGTACATTTACTTACGCGTTATAAAAAGGGTATTTCGAAATGAAATTAACATTTTTAAACACATTTTTAAGTGTGAATGGCCCATTTTTCCGAGCGCTCTCTCTCGTTGTTCCCGCTCTTCCCCATTTATCCTTCCATACCTCTCTCTCACATTCTCATTCTCCCCTGTCGAGCATCTATCTCCTGGGAATCCCTTATCAACCGTTTTTTTATAGCTTCGCGCGTTCCGTGGAATTTTTGAATAATTTCTGATGTTTGTTTATTTATCGCGCGGCGCAACCGCAACAGTTGAAAGGAAAATTGAGAGGGAGGGGAAAAACCATTTGCAGAAACGTGTGCGAAGCGAAGAGGCGGCAAAAACAAAACGAACTGCAAAGAGGGGTCGGGGCGGGGGCGTAACTTACATTCTCTCTCGTTCGCCGCTAACTCCGATTGGATCTCTTGCTCTCTCTGTCGCTTTTGTGCTATGCAAATTGGATTCTTGCTTGATTAAAATCTCATATAGAAGAATTAAGTTTTTGGCGCTTTTTACTTGTTGTTATTGTTATGACCTTTCCCGTTTTGTTTTGTTTTTTTGCGTCGCCTAATAAAACCAGATTTGATTTTGAGTTGTTTGCGAGCCGAGAGTTGTTAAATCCAAAAATCGGTTTGCTGGGGATTATTTTAACAACTGATTTTGTTTTTTTTTTTGTGTTATTTCTCCTCGCTCTTACACACACACACAGCCGCACGCGCACGCACACTTCGAGGGGCTTATTGTTTTAACGCAAAACTGCGACGTTGTTTTTTTTTATTTTGCGCTCTCAGCTGGTTGGCACTTTTTGCGCTATTTTTTTTGGTTACCGCATGAAAAGTGAAAAACTTTCGTTGCGCCTTTGACCTCTTTTTACACAGACAAACGCACACACACACACTTCTAGGCGGACGAGTGTGCTTCTAATTGGGTGTCCAATTGGGATTACAGCACGCAGCAAAAGCGGCGGCGTCGGCCGATTCTATATTGCATTTCCTTGATTTCTATATATTCTTTGCCCCGATTTTTTGGCTTTTGTTTTTCGCACACTAATGGAAAAGCTCACCAACACACGAACACAGGCGCGCACACACACTGGCACGCGGGACTGTGGATTTTTGCGGGCAACGGGACTTCTGCCGTTGTGCACACTCACTCCGCAACAATCTCGTATTCTTATTTTCGTTTATTTCGCGTTTTTTATGCCCCTATTTTGCTCTGCTGCACTCTCTCACTCGCACAGAGAACAACTTATTATTGCTGCTGCTGCCTCGCTTCTTCTTCTTCACTCATCTTCGTCGCTGTGATGGCTCTTCACTTTTTCGCTCTGTTCTGTAGTTTTTCGTTTTTCCGCGCACGCCGTTTTAATCGCGTCTTTGTCTTGTACTCGTTCAGCAATTGCGCGTCGCCTTTTTCAACGTTTTTTCCACGTTTGTTTTGTTATTTTTCCACTTTTTCTCATATTTTCCTCTGCTTCTTCGATATCAGGAGGTGTACTGGTCTGAACCTATCGGGGCCATCGTTCACCGATACTAGGGAGCTATCGGCTATCGAGTTTAAAATTGGCCACCCCTGCAGTGTGACCGGACTTTTATTAAGACAAATTACATTGCCATTGTGCGAACAGGTGATGTGTGGGAATATCCGCCAAATATTTACAGCCAGGGTTGCCGCTTCTACTTTGGTTAGTACATATTCATAAGTTCTTCTTAAATTCTTATTCAATGAATTAAATGCATATCAACACTATTAAAATTATTATGACAAATAAAAGATAAAGTGCGTTTATTACTTATTATGTGTTACATAAATGAATTATCAATGCTAGAACTGATCAGCGCACTATTATTTTATTTGATATATATGTGAATATATATATTTATTAAATAACATAAAGTTTTTACTTTTAAACGGGGATCGTTCCGATTTTGTAAAGGGCATAAACAGAAACATACTTTTGAAAATTATATATTTCGGGTTTCGATGTTTAAAATCCTTGTGCAATCGGAGCGAGTCCCTGCTTTTAGCCGCTTGAGTGCATAGATGTCTTGGCTTTTAGTCCATAGTATGGTGTCTTCGCTAAGTAATGTTACATTTCCAACAGATTTTTCAAAATAAGAATAATGGTTAAATATTAATAAAAACTTATCATATAATTTAAATATATTATAAGAATTTAAATCCTTGCATAATTAAAACGCGTAATTAAAAAACGTAACCGCAACTTGTTTAACTAAAACTATTTTTAAAAGTCAAATACCATTTATTATTAATTATTATTTGTATTCTTATTTATTATTTAAATATCACTTTATTATAATTTTGCTGTCTTAAACTCTCCGCTTTGTTGAATTTTACAAAGGAAATTTGTAGCGTGGTTACATTACTTATTCTGCAAGCGTAATTAACGTTTATTAAATTCAAAAGTTTTTAATCTACCATATTAAATGAACCAACTGGGCGCAGCAATCATATAAAATGAAATGCAATTTAATATGCCCGTTAGAAGCTAAAATAAATCATCAAAAATGACTTGGATTTCGTTTTTGGGCGCTTAAATTGCATCAACTAACACATTCAAATGGGCTCCGTTTGCGTGTGTGCGTGCGGGTGTCTGTTGTTGTGTGTGTGTGTGTGTGTGTGTAAACGTCTGTTTCCCTTTCCGTTAACATTTTGTGTCTGGTTTCCGGCATTTTGTGTGCGCCATTTAAAATTGTTTTCCACGATACGAATCTGCCCAACGCTCTCTCTTTCTTTTTCGTTCCCTCGAATGGCGAAAATTTTGCTTTTCGCAGACATTTGGAGCAGGAATTGGTAGCAAATTGGCGGCCTCAGGGTTACGAAGACATTTAAGGGCCGACAAGGAAATGGAGAAATAAGAAGGAGGGCCAAGAATAAGGCCAAGAAGTTGGAAAAGTAGGAGGTACTAGGTAAATTGTGTGCAAGCGATAGAAATCTCTCAGAATATTTCCGGTTTTTTTCTTCCATTCCTCCATTCAGAATATTTGCCCCTTTCGTTGCCTGTTTCCTTGTTCCCTAAACTTCTCTGTTACCACTATATTCGTGCATTTATTCCAATTTCTTTCATAAATATTTGCGCCCTTTGTGCGCTTAATTCATTCATCAAACTGTCAAATGAATGTCAAAACTAACAGAGCCCCCAATAGCCCACTTCCCCCCATAAAAAAACAGCCACGAAAGGTGCTCTATTATTGAAATGAATTAGTGGGCGCCAGTGGGTGGGCTTAAGCCGATTTTTCCGCTTCCTCCGCTTGGGCTTTTTGTCCAAACATTTTCCCACAGCACGTTTTATGACATAAAGTGTGGGTAAGCTCTTCCAATGAGCTTGGGCACTTAATTGGAGTTAATTTGGATTTAATGGTTCTCTAGAAGCAGTATTATCGAATTCAAGGAAAGAAATATTGGTAGTCCTATTTTATTTAATTAAATTGAAAAAAATCGTAATATGTATCATTGATATCGTAATTAAGCAGCTAGCTAAAGATGAAATACAATATAAATTTATTGCAATTTGTGGCCATTTCTGTAGAATTTTCCTCAAACAAATGCGGTACTCACTATGTTATGAAGTCCTGTAATTACGAATGGCTCCAATTACGTGTTTCCAATTTGTTAATGTATATTTCAACTAAACATTCTCCATTGCTCATTATGTGCCCTGCTCTTCACTTATCAGTGGTATTTTCGCTTTCCGAACAATCGCAATCTCAAGGACTGGTTGTGTTTAATTACACGAACAACTCTCCGCATTTAACGCATATTAATTTTCAACTACTCCAGGCTATTGGTTTCACTTTTGTGAACTTTGAACCCAGCGGCGTAGTCGAAATTATCATGGTTTCGCTGGCTTGTTATCATCTGATATCATTTCATCGCCCCCGCAGCGAGGTACTTGACTTCATATGACAATATTCTAGGCATTGATTACTCAGATTTCAATCAATGTGTTTTTGTCTTCGGTTCTGCCTTTTGAATTCTGTGTGGTTCAGTCGAGTGTTTTAATTTTTGGGCAGCGGTAACCATTAAAATCAATGACCAATATAAATACTATATCCTGAGCGGAACGAGTAATAAAAAGATAGCCAGCTGTGAAATTAAATGTTATTTCGAAGATAGCCGGCAAACAAATAGTAATGGGCGAAATTGGAAACGGGAAACCTGCAGCTGACAGGGAGTCAAGCACAATTGTTTCTGGCGAATGGCAATTTAAATGCTAAAAATATTAAGCATTCAATTTATATGAACCAGAATTTATTGGACTTATTTACCTGTGTTATTTACTCAAGTGCTTTAAATATTCCAAAGTTGAGTGCGTTGATTCTGCCTTTTTTGTGTGCTTATTGGTGAGCTTTTCTGGTTTTACACTGAATTAGGTTTGACAACAACTTTGGTGGTGTTGCCATGAGGTTGCTTAGAAAGCAAATCTAAATACAGATAAGCTGCTCAAATAAATCTGGCATTTTTGGAGTTATTTAGTTTAGTATTAGCCCACATATATTTTCTAAATGCTGTGCTCAGTTACTTGGGATTTATTCAGTAAACCGTGGACATTTTCAAAAGATCAGGAGTAAGAAACTTGTGACGTTTTCAATGTGATTATCTAAAAATCTACATTCAAAACTAGACATTTATTTTTTTAAAATTTTTTTCACAAAAAGTCCTAAAAAAAGTCCACTTTTAAAAAATGTTGTGGTATTTTTTTACGTTTTTATATAGAAACTTTTTGCCACCTCCACACTTTTAGTAAATTTTGAAGTTTTATTATCTTGTTTTAAAATTAAGCCAGGATGATCCACTGCCAATTGTTCCTTTCTGAGCATTGTGCACCTATTGAAGCTCATTATCTATTGTTGTTTGCCGAAGAAAACGTTTTTTTCGCTCTCTGTTTGCTTTTCCGAGGCCACAAAGACAAAATTGCAGTTCAGATAGACAATCGAGGCTGCCTTTAAACAGGGGAAGTGGTCGAGTTTTTCCCCTCCGAATGTTTTCCTTGTTTTGTCTGTGCACTTACGCTCATTTTCCCAGCCACACATCCCATTGACAGTGGCTCACTTCTTTCATTCACTTTTTCACCCACTCATTAAATGGCGCGTTAAGCGGGAAGAGAGCAAAAGTGAATGGTGGTAGTGCTTTTTAAGCTGCTTAATTGTTGCCAAATACTTGGAGAATTCACTACACCGAAGGAAAAACTATAGTATCATAATATTCAAAAGTTTTTCAAATAAATATAAAACTCTCAAAGTTCCTCTACGTGCAAATACTTTTTAAGCCAAATACTTGGCGTAACTAGGAGCTTGTGCAACTCATAAATCTTTGGACGCCGCCATTCAAATCGCTCAATTGATGGCGCCCAACAATGGCTGTCGATGCGAAGCCGCCTTCGCTGGCCGAGGCCAAAGGATTTTCCCCATTTTCCATTGTCTGTCTGTCTGGTGGAGGAAATGGAGCAGGATACTTAGGCGAAGAGTTTCGTGCTTTGGAGCGGCAATGACAACTATGGCACCCAATCTATGCTGCCTGTCTGTCTCGTTTCTGAGAAAGTGGAGAGTGGGTCAGATATGCCAGATTGGAGCTAAATAGCACATTTTCTGTTAAAACTAATGTTCGGTGCTTAAATTTTATTTATATTAAAGAGAATTCCACCCTTAGCGCCATAAGTTTATCCTTTTGATGTTGGCCTACATGGTTCTCAAATGATACCAAATACCTTAATTAAAATGAAGTGTAACCAGGCAATGTTGCACATCCGCTTGTTCTTCATATAAATTGACGGAATAAAGAACATTCAAAGGGCAATTCATGGAAATTGTGTGCCCACTCGATGCCTTTGTTTTGTAGTTTATGCGCCAGACAATTGCACTGCACTCCACTCGGGATCGTGCTCCTTCACACAATGGTCTTTCGAAGGAGCTCCTTCATTGTATTAATAACTTGATGCCGCCTGAATTGAAAGCAAATTTTCTAATCCTTCGTTGCAGCCAAGGATGGCTGGAATCAGCAGAAGTTCCCAGCCGCGTCTGCAGCTATATATACCTGTATTCTGGGGCCTGATGGCAACGGTGCTTGCTTCATTACCGGAGGAAGCGAGAGGAGCAGCCGGCGGGGAATCGAGGATGGATGTTCTAGGACTCTCGCCGGGACAAAGAGTCCTGGCTGCAGTGCCTGCGTCAGGTGAGCTTCGTTAGTCATCAGTGCTGCAAGGCTGACTGTCTGCGTAAGAAGTCTGGTGTAGCATTTGGGGAATTCCAATTCAATTTGAACATATCATTAACCAAAACCGAGTGGAATATCATATGTACTAACTATAATGGGATTATTATTGCATACTTTGATGCCACATTGTGAGAGGCTTAGGTGTTTATCCTGTAATTGCACAATACAAGGTTGTACCTTCAATCTTGTCAGCACTGTCCTCTGTTGGGGCCTCTATTTCTCTCTTGGTTTTCCAATTAGCGTTGTTTATCACGCATACGCACTGTGGTATCCGCTGCAGTGGCCGTTGGAGTGGGAACTCTAGGGTGCGGAGTACGCCAAGTGGGAATGTCAACGCATTCTTAATTGGTATTTCGCTTACCACCTTCACTCAGTTGTGCCGCTTCGCAATCTGCGCTTTTCCCATTCGGTTTCCTATTCCGCTGGGAACCCGAAAATAACTCAAGTGTCACTGCCTCTAAGCTCACCACGACTCTTCAAGAAGCTGAGAACTAAGCGACGGGGAGCTAAAATGGGGCAACAAGACAGTCAAGAGCAGCTGCAGCGAAACGTTGGCACTCAACCGAGCGTGAATGCCACCGAAATGTGGACTCTGGCTAAGCAGCCAATGCAATATTTATAAAAGGTCATTTCTCAGCGAGGCCATACTCAAATCAAAGTGCGTTATTTCGCCGGGCTTTCAACTGTAGCGAAGTATCTTCATTAGCAACCCCTTGGAATATTAGCCAAACAGTATGCTACCATACATTTGTCGTTTAAATTTGTCATGTTTAAATTAACTTTTGGGTAAAGAAAAAACACAAGTTCACTTGTATGTAATATATATTATAAATAAATCTATAATATTTCTCGCCAGGCATTGCATTCCACTCGTCAGCTTCTGTTAACTAAGTGCCACAAATCACTTTGAACACTTTATCCCTCGGCTAATATTTATATACTTTTTAGCCACTTGTAGCCAGTCAGCACTGTAGTTTTATCACTTGCTGAGCGTTTTGTGTGACACTATTATCCCTCTTCTTTTTTCCCACTTTCCCACATTCATTCGCCTCCTTTCTTCTTGCCTTTCCGCTGCTGCAAGTCGACAATCGCTATATCCGCTTGTTGCCTGTTCCAGTTCCCCGGGGTTCTCCCACAGCCCCATTACTGGTCCGCATCCCATATTCCTTGCCGCCCCCAGCAAATAGTTGCCGCCTGGAGCGTTTCCGTTGCAGCAAGCGTTGCAAGCGGAATTTGATGTCGCTGGTGTCATTTGTCACGCGTTGTCGCTGCCGTCGTTTGTTTGTTTACCGATGCGTCGCTTCTGGTTGCTGCTGCTGTTGTTGCTCGTCTGGTGTTGTCAACACAGATGAACACGGGTACACTTGAAGAAATTACCTACCAATTGATTAGGTATAGGGACACAAATTACAAACTACTAGAGAGAAGAACTTATCACATTGCGATTTAAAACCCTTATTAAGAAATGTGGAAACTTATGCTCTAATAGCGCATGTAATAAAATCATATAATCATGTTTTGATATATCAAAGGGCATAATAATAATTTTTAAATAACGTAAGATTTCCGATATTTTGAAATATTGCTCTATGTATTTAGAGCAGGAGCATGCTGCTGTCTTTTTAAGTAGCACAAAGTGCATATTCAGTTCCAATAGTAAAAGATTTGAAAGTGGCGATAAACTCTTTGAGTTTTATGACTGTGTACTTTTCTGGTTTATCGCTGTCTGAGCGCGCGAGTGTGTGTGTGTGTGAGTGTGGGCCACGTTTATTCTTGGCATCATTAAGCGCCGACATCAACACTTAACACATATTGTTCCACTGGCCGTGCTCCTCTTGACACCGCCTGCTCGACCTCTTCCTTTTTCAGCTGCCACTCCACGCAATTGAGGATAAGTAGTGCCAAATGCCGGGGAAGCCATTAAAATGCAAATTTCTAGTGGTCACGTGATGATGCTGCAATTCAACTTGGCCCACATAAACACCACCAGCGAACACAAACAGGCCGCGAACAACCAAGAACAACCGACTGGACTGACACTAACTCAACAGCAGGCACTGCATCATCGGCGACTTTCGCTTTTAGAAAATGCGGAAAGCCGAAACGTTGTCCTTACTTTGTTTCGGCCTTTCCTCTTTCGTTTTCCCATTTCGCGGCTTCCACTTGCTCATCTGACATTTTGGGTCAGTTGTCGCATTTGTTTTCAGCTGGCTGTTGTGTTTCTTTTTTCGTCCGCTTGTCGGCCAACTTTCAACTTTAAAATGCGTGATTTATTGCCGAGATGCCGCGGCGAACTTTTTTTCGGTGCGTTAAACATGGCGTATGATTAACGTCAACGCGGCGTATGCGTAATGCGCTGTTCTGGGGAAATGGCAGCAGCACTTAGCGACATCTCAGAGCGGTGGAAAAAGCGAAACGAAAAGTTCTTGACCAAAGCGATTCTGAACTGCAGTTCAAAATTAGTTTCGAGTGACAAGCGCCTAATTCGTTTACAAGTTAATTAAATAAGTTTGCAATCGCAGTGCGAACCGAGGTGGAAAACGACTTCGAATGCGATCCCAGGAGTGAAAGAAATAATAAGTTTATGGGGAAAATCTCTTCAAGAACAGTGAATTGCTTTTAGGAACATGCATTGATTGAACAGAAGCTTTTTAGAAGTTCAAGAAACTAACTTAGATTATTAGTGGAAGAGAAAAACCAGTGTTTCCCATTGAAAACTGCATTTCATTTTGCAACTAAACAATGAAATGAACAGAAAATCCCATCTACCCTATACAAAGCCGAAGTATTTATAGCAGCCCATTGAAACGGAAATTCGAGAGTCATTTAAAGCTGAATGGCATTTCCTTAATAAAAAGAAACCCTTTCAGACACTTTCGTCAATCATCGGCATTTTCCTTCTTTTTCCCAGGTGATTGCTAAACAATTTGATTCTGTTCGTTTGGCTTGATGATTGGGCGGAAGAATTGTTCTCGTAAATGTTCAATTGATTGCCAGTTGCCATCGCCCTAATGCCATTCGAGCCCAAAAATTGTCTAATGACTGCACTTCGAGACGCTTATCAAAGATTCATGTGCGCATTTGCCAATCACCTGCAGAGCGGATCGCTTTTCCATTTCCTTTGCCATTTTCCCGTTTTCTGTGGCGATTGCACTTAACTGACAGTAAGTAGCTAGTTGAACTCAAACAAAATGCTTAGCGCACAATCTGAGAACAAAACAGCACTCGAGGAGGCTTCAGATACTCGAGTACTTTGGGGTTTTCGGGTGGAGGCCTGGTGCTTTGGAGTGTTTTAAAATTAAATTTCTTGCTTTGTCAGACACTTGGACAATTTCCTGGAGTTGAACTGTGAAAATTGAGGTAATAATCCAATGTAATGTAAGGAAATGTATTTTATCAACTGAGTATTTTAATCAAAATTAATCACAACTCTGTTTCAAGGGGCATGACTACTTTTGATGAATAATGGCGGATAAGACTATTCTTAAATATATTAAAGTTAATAGTACTTGTTATATTTGAAAGACCTTTTTATGAATTTAGTAAATAAAAAAATTATATTTTTGGAATCCAATTTGAAAGCCATGCGGTTTTTCTTCTTGTGATTGCAGGACGCACGAATTTTTTGCTGTACCAATTAGCTGCGGCCATAAATTCAGCCGCCGGCCTGGAATCGCCGACGATGCAGGAAGTGGAGGTGGTCGACGTGGTGGAGCACCAGGAGCAGTTCCTGCTGGCGAGCCCGGATCCCAACTGGCTGGCCGCCATGGCGAATGAGTTCCAGGTGAGCCGCCTCTTAGCCTTGGTCCCGAAATCGGTAAGCCAGATAACTCCTGCCAACATAAATCACGCTGTTGTTGCTGCTTAACTTTTTGGATGGTGTTTTTAACTTGGCTCCGGATATCTGTCAGAGCCTGTCTGCCTTTCGGTTGAGGGGTTGGCTTCTGGTGGAGTTGTGTAGAATTCGGAGGAGCTTCTTCGGGCACGTGACCGCATGGTGGTCACGCTCCACCGCCGCCGGATTTCATTTACAGCCAGCAGGCACGGCACGTCGCTGACCAGGATTGAAAACAATCAGGGAGCAGCTAAAGATTTATCAGACCCGTCAACTGCCATCGAGCCGGAGGGCAATAACCGATTAAGCTTCGGGCCAAGTGCATCATTTGGGTTGGCATCACACCCACTCCAAATAATTGCCGCGGATTATACATCTTGACGGGCATCGAAATTTTAATTTTGTAAGCCATTTTAATGGTTGGCGATGTCTTAAAGCTTAGAATCTCTAGCTAATGTGGTGTGATATCTCGAGTGTGGGTTAAAAAATATTCATTTTTTTATTCATATATACTTAATATATACATAATAATTGCAAAATTTAAGTATGCTTTCGCATTGCAACGCACTTTTTGACGCATTGGTTTGTTAACGTTAAAGTTGTGAAAGAAAATGCTGTTTTAAATGCTGTTTTTTATTATCGGAGAATCCCAACCTTTCTAAGAATTTAAAAATGTATTCTTTCTGGTATATCAGCACTCTTTATACCATTTTATATACATGACAACATAGCTTTAGCCAAAAAGGGTGTTTCAAAGTTTAAAACACGCTTATAATTGACACAACTTTTCAATTTTTAGGAGTATATCCGGCGCACTCCCAAGAAGCAGTTTGATTGAAAATTCATATATTCCCGTAATAATCACATCATCAACTTGTCAGAAATTGCCTCCAAGCAAAACCAATTTTGCTGTTCGAGATTGCAGCTAAGTCTGAAAAAGCCTTTATTAAAGCATGCATCGAAAATTTCCCATTAGCACTTGCATAAAAATGGTATGGATGGTATCTCTGGCATAGCCAGCTTTGGTCTATTTTCGTTCCGAGAATGTTTTTCAAGGGTTTTGGCCACAAAATTTAAATATCTGCTGTGCAGCCCCTGGGAACTTGGACTTTGGAGTCGATTTTGGCCACCCCTTCTCCGATCTTTTCGGTATTGCATTTTCGTTGTTGCCGCTGGTGTGGCTTCTGTTTTGGCTGGTTAGCTCGCTTTGAGACATCTGCTTTCAATTTCGCAGATTGTCTCGCACAAATAAATGCAAATTTTATGCAAAACAAGCGACACTGATAGTGGTAGATGTATGGTTTCGAGCCAAGGAGCGGGGAACTTTGTTTGGTTTCTTACTTGGCACTGATAAGCGTTTGGTTGCTTGGAATTACAGTATTTCATATTGGTAAGGCACCAGCATATGGTCATTGTATGACCGCCGTTTGTGGTCTTTCTGAATTATATTACATTAGCTAACAAGTGTTTCTTCAATTTATTTAAGTATGTGTTTACATAAACTTTTGGGGGAGTGAAGAATTTTTTGTGATAATGTTAGGCTTCATTTTGTAATTTAATAATAATTGGTTATTTTTTTGCTAATATCCAGACAGCTTCTGTTTAAATATCCCTGATAAATATAGTTGGTAGACGACACACATAAGGTACATAAAATATATAAATGAAATAAGCTTTGCATTACGAGTTTACTTAGACATCTTGCTAAGATACTTCAAAGCCCTATGGCTTTCTGTGGCTTTCTGTCAACGTCCATCGGTTCCTTTGTGAAAATCTAAGCCGTGTTAAAATATTTTCGGTATTTTCACTGTGCATGGATCCTGAGCTTTAGACTTATTGAATTTAGGTATTATTTTTGGCCAAGCCGGGACTCGCTTGGATACTTTTGAGCAGCCAAAACCACTGTTCATTAGGCTGTTGGAAGCCCATCCAATCCGGCTGCAACCACCGCCCCAAGTTTGCTTCTGAGGACGAGAGAAGTAACAAAAAAATGGAGAATGTCCACTGGGGATTACTTTGCTTAATTCAACTGCAAATGAAAATTGTTTGTTCTGTAAATTCAATCTCTTGGTGTCCTGTTGACGTTGTCATTACGCCGAAGTCTGGCTCAGCCGTTTGTCGGAGGCCCTGGGCCTTCACTTGGCACCTCGCCAGTCCCCGACCCCGATCCCGACTCCGACTCCGCCCTCGGAAACAGCTTCCCACACCTATCCTCGCCATTTCCAGTGAGTTCATCAAAGCGTAATCTGCACAAAATGGCGTCACTTCCTCAGCCGGGGCGTTCTAAAGAAAAAACAAGCAAATGGCCGGGAACTTTAAGGCTAACTATGCTGGGGACTCTCTAAGCATCCGAGGCGCCCTCAAAACCCCGCCTCGCTCACCTAATGGAGTCATAATTCTTCAGCTCGTTAGCAATACATGCAACGTAAATATGCTTGCGCCGAAAAGTATGCCAGGCATTTCTTTTCGTCCTTTCCACGTTTTTAAGGACCAAGCCCTATACCCTGCAGGCATTCTAATCGGTTGTGCCAGGGCTCGCCGACGGCCTCGTAGCATCCAGGGGACCTCAGTTGGTAGATTAATTGATTTTAAAGGGTTTTGGGAGAAGGCAGGGGAGTTGGAATTTTGCGGATTTCGACATAAGCGAATCGCATCTATTTGCTTTCTTATAATATTGGTCATATGTCTTGCAACAACTCTTTCTATATTTCAAATATTCTTCTTAAAAGCATTAAGTTAATTATTTAAAATTAATGTATATATATTGTTTATCTGCATTTAAAAAGTGTTATAATAGCATTCTTTGTATAGTACTGCATATAAGTAACGTTCGATAGGGGAATCCATATTTATAGAGTGTACAATTTGATTTATTTTGCTAAACGCTTCTTATTTCAATCCTATTGAAGTCAAAATGGCTTGGAATCAAGTTCTCGCCATCTCATCCCCATAACACATATCCATTTACCGCTAGAGGGTATCCTTTAGCTTTAAATTCCCAAAAGCTACCTCCATCAATTTGTTTTCCATACGCCCTTAGGCGACTTCCCTTTCGCATCTGTGTTTGCAGCGGTGTGTGTAAGGCTGTGTGCTCTCCTTCGTATGTGTGTGTGTGTGTCCGTCGGTGTTAAACCTTTTCGCCTTTCGGAAAACCGTGGGCGGTGGGCGTGGCCAACAGAGCAGCCGCCTTGGCAGTGGCCGCTGGCCTGACAAGTTGCTTAATTGAAAAGTGTTTTGTTTGGCATGCCTAAGGCAAGGGCATACACTTGTGCACTGGCAAAAACGGGAGACTCTAACATTTTGTACTTACTTTCATATTGAGAATTTGATAAGACAATTAGGACAGCAATAATCACATTGAAATCACTTATACTACAGGAATTAATTTGGTTCTGGCACCACAAAGTTTTCCCCTCTGATTATTTCTTACTATATTTTGAGCTGGCTTAAAAAAATATATTTATATATCTTCCTTTATTTCGTGCATCGCTTGAAAGAAAGCGACTTGGGCAAGTGCTTTTTGGCTTTTAGGACCTTTGCCTCAACTGCTGATTTGGCAACTTTTACGTTCAATAATTTGCTGCTTATTTATGCGCTTGCTTTAAACCCGGCCAAAAAGCAACAAAGGACTTCCGCTTTTTTTCCCCCCAAAAGATCTTTCAAGGATTCTGTGATTACGCATGGGGTGGAGAAAAACTGCCGCATATTTATCACTTCTCCTACTTTTTATTGCTTCCTCTTTCGCATGTCGCCTCCTCTCAGTCATAAATAATTATGTTATTTTAGATTCTGTATCTTTTTTTTGGCCCGCTCGCGTTGAGTCGAGATAAATTGTGGCAATAATTATCGCACATTTTTCAAAGCGACATTTTTCAACGACTCTCAGCATGAATTCGGCGACAGTTTTCGTAATTAAGTCGACATGGTGACTTAATGACGCTGCCACGCCCACTCGCATGATAACTCGGCACTTATGTTTATGGGCTTTATGTATTTTTAATTAACTTTAATGCTGATTTGGCAGATGCTTACAGGGCTTGCAGCCAGTCAAATGAACTCAATCAAAAGCAACACTCAACTTCGTCTGGAGAATGCCTCAAGGACCTTCGTTTGCAGTCTCTGTTTTTGGCCAGCACGCTCCTTTGTGTCTCAAGTGTTTGTCTGTCTAATTGGTAAATTTAATTACCCGCCCACCGGTCACCTGTGTTAAGTTTGTGTTAAGTTATCCTCGCTGCAGTGTGAAATTCCACTTTATGCTCAAATTTAATAAGCACGCTTCCGGATTTCGGCTTGCTGGATAACATTTATAGAGCCACGCTCCTGGGGCAAACTCTGCCGTTCGTCCTTGCCTCGCAAACGGAACTTTAGTTTACCTTTTGCTTTAACTCTGACGTCAACGGAAATGCAACACTCTCTCGGCCGACGTGCCACGCCCCGTTGCGCCCCAGCTAGTCAACTGAGGCCATTCCAAGGGGTTTGGTAGTAAAGTTTAGATTGAATAAATTTGAAATTTAATACAGTGGTTAATTTCCCTTATTTAGTCATGCAAAACAGTTAGTCATTTATATACTCATCTAGCCACACTAAATCAGTGAGCCTTATTATATAGATGTACTTTCTGCAAAACCTATACAAAACTATAAAATATATTCGGTTCAGTTTCCTTAACAAACATGAGTAAATAAGTAGCAATGGGAGAGGGCGAACTTTGGCAGCGCCCCTCTGTGTCCATAAAATATATAACATGGCTAAACTGCTTCGGAGCTGTTTACTGCAGTTTTCAATTAAGTTGCCAATGTCCCTCTGCCGACAATTTCCCTGTTCCTCGAGCTGAAACTCATCCAGGTTGCTGCTTCCCTTTTTAATTAGTTGACAAACTTGCACATTTTTATCGCCGCTCGTTGTACCTGTGCTAACTCGTACCTGTTTGCACATCTCCCTGCTTTTGGACGTCACTCTCTTATTAATTTCATTTTGCACTTGTAATTGCCAGTATATATCGCATCGCATCGCATCGCATCGCATCGCTCATACGCAGCGTTGCACCGGAAATTAATTTCCGTGCGCTTTGGCAAAGAAGAGAAGGAGCCAGAAAGCGGACTGTCGGGTTGATTGCTTAACAATGTCAAGAGCAGCGGGAAAACAATCAGGAGATAGATAAAATATACAGGCAACAATTTGTGTTCGTGTTTAGCGGAACTATTACTATAATTAAAAGTAACTATAATAAAGTGTTCTATAGTACTTAAGTCGAACAACATTTATGTTGTTAGCTATTTTAGATCTAACTTATTTTTGTTCGTCCCTAGTATACTTATTAATCCCATTCACACTTTTGTTTTCTAATTGTTAATATTATATTAAAATTTTAATATATTTTCGGTGTACTAGCTGATGACCTGATCATCTATACAATCCAGTTTTGTTCTCCACTTGCACTCGCAACCGGAAGTCTGTAATAAGAATCCTGTCCTCTCTGATTTGATTTGTTTCAGAGTGTGCCAGTGTACGAGACTTTTCCGGCGGACTTGCAGCACTGGCTGATGGATGGCTATGGGATCAGTGCCACGGATTTCTACCACGGCTGGAGCAGAGCAGGATTTGGGAGGAGCAGGAGGAGCAGCTCCCGCACCCAGCTGATCTGTACGCCAGATGGCCAGTGCTACGAGGTCAACAAAATCGTCACTGCCTGCTGTCCATTTTGAGCATGCAATAAAGGCATTGAAAACAATCGAGAGGAAATCATAAATTTGGGGCACACACACAGCACACAGAGCCATCGATTGACAGGCAGTTCCGGCATTGTCCGCACTGAGACCATTAAATACCGACGCTCCTGTGGCCGACCACGTGGTCAATGGTCGATAGTCGTTGGCCGGTGCATCTGGCCAACAGATTGGAGAAAAGAAGGAGGAAGTGGGGCTCGTAATCGAAAACGGAAGCTGCCAACTGCACTGGTCACTCTGTACGTTAAGCATTTTTTGCGGCACGAGTAGTTCAGTTAACTAACCGAGATTTTCCGTCATGCAAGCAGGTTTATTATTCAAGTTTTTTTTTCACGTTTCAGATTATACAGTAGCACCCATGAGTCGTCGAAAGGAAAATACTTTTAACAGTAAGAGCATTAAGATAACCTTTCGGATTCATAGCCAGTACAAAAAGCTTAAAAAATAAAACAATTTCTGGGCAATATTTAAAATTCTGAATAAGCAACCATGGAGCAGTGCTAATTGAATACGCCATATGGAAAAGGGTTCGTCAAATATCTAAAAGTAGTTCTAGATAGATTTGAATAACTAGTAATTAGAAGTAGTTTTTACAAATATTTTATTTGTAACTTCAATATATTGAATAAATAATAATAAGGTTCAGATATTTAATGAATTCATGTTTTTAGAGGCTAGAGACCCCAATTATACCAACAATTTTTAATAATAATGACCACTTTTAACAGCTTGGTAAATGGAAATAGAATGGAAATGAGTCCACCGCGTTCCTACATTTTTGCCTTGGTTCCTACGTAACTCTGACCCATTTTGGCATAAATCAAGGGTATGTCCACGTCGACTCTATCCGTAAGTGTTGCACTGCCTTGGGGCTTTGAGCTCTTTATGCGTGCCTGCAATCAGCGACAACGAATGTTTCCATGTACCAAACGCGTGCCAAAAACAAAAGGAAGGGAAAATGCAACAGCAAAGCCGGAAAAGCGACGACAACAACAACAACAGCTGCATCGGGAGGGAAAATCAACATGCAACGGCGAAAACGAATACGAGCAGCAGCAACAAATGTCAGTTATTTTCATGTTGCTTTTGCCCTCGCCACACATATGCAACATTATTTTTTTCGCATTTCCAGCCCGAGACTTTTATTTCGCATCCCATAGTCGCGCAATTGTTTCGCTAGTAAACAATGTGATTTTCAGCGTGAAATTTCATTCAATCGGCTGGGGTTACATGGGGTACATGGCTATCTGGCTATAACCCCTCTTAGCCCCACTATACCACAGTTACCAACTCATTCGACGGTCTTTGGTGGGCAATTTGTGTGTGCGAAAAAGTGTATGGCCCCAAAAAATATGTCGAGGTGCTTTTTTATTTTGATATCTTCTTTTTTTATTGCATTTTCTTTTTGTCATGTGAAATGCTTTTTATGCATATATTGTTGGAGGATTTGCTGCCTTTTCTGTGCAAAATTGCTTTTAATTGATCAAATTGTTTAAATATACGGCATGCATATATGCGTGTACATATGTATGTGTTTTTGGTTTCTTTTATTGTTTTGGTATTTCAATTAATGTTTTAAAATTCTTGTTTAGTTATTTATACGGCATAAATGAAACGAAACGTATGAAAAACTATGTTTGATGGATGGATGCACATCTGACAATATTATTACAATTTTTTGTCGGATAATTACTAAAATGGTCTTTTGGGGCTATCAAATTTAAGTTACTTAATGGGATGAGCTCTATAATCAACAAAAGGAAATAATATTTTCGTTGTATATTTATGTAAATAAGAACTTATTTTTATGCGTGTTTTGTTAAGTACGAGTGTTAAAGATTTTAAATTGCATTTATTGTACTTTTTTATATTCGATGGTTGTTCATTCTTGTTCATCGTGACTTTTCAAATTAAAGCAGAAATAAACAACGAAATAAACGAGCGTTTAACAAAAAAATCCGCATTTAACTATCAGCAGTCATTAAGAACAAGTTTTTGAGTGCTGCACAACAAAATTCGAATAATAATACCAAATAACATGATTAAATTGATAATGAAGTGGTAGACTAGACTTGCCAAAACAAAATGTAAAATTTGAGAAATTTAAAGCAATTTTAATTCAAGTTGAATCTTGAAAACAAACTATGTCATATTCCACTAGCACATATTCCTATATGTGCCTATGTGTAACTTGAGAAATTTTATAAATAATTGAAATAATTATTTATAAATAAAGAGATTTACAAACTCGATGCTGAGTGCATTTGGCTGTCTAGCTTACAGTTCATGGAGTGCAAATGCCACTTCAATGGTAACACAGTTCATTATTTAAACTGCGTTGCAATTTAATTAAAGACACATACCGATTCAAATGAAACGAGTAAATAAGTGAGCTACCAAAAACAATTTCGCGAGCATAAATGCCAGCGATTTTCTGGCATTCTGGCCTCCCCGTGTCCCCCACGGCCTTATAACTTAACAAGGGGAGCCAGTAGGAAAATGCTGGCTCAAAAGCTGCCCGAATCTCGCCATTATGGCAATCTGCCTGAGCGCCCCACCACCTATGGAGCCCCCATATCTCGGCTCGCAGATAGCGGTGTGCATATAGGTAATGCATGTAAACGATATTGCTTCACTCAACTGTCAGAGGGCATTAAATAATATTTTACGCCGGGGAGACGGTGGGCCCGTGATCATCATGGCCTGTGACATTTCTGACTGCAGGCTGCCCGGGAAACCAAAAAAGCCGCACCATGGCAACTTTGCCGAATGCCAAATGGCAGACAGGCAGACAGACAGGCAGGCAGGCATAGATGTCATGTGCAGAATTATGTAACACGAGCGGCATTTAATTTTTTAAGCAAACTAACATTTCCTGCCAGCTTTTGGCCACATCTGCATTCAGCATTCAACATTCAGCATTTAGCATGTGCATAAATTGTTGCATCCTTGGCGGTTGCAGCTTTTCTATGGCTTTGATTACATCTCCCCCTTTTTGACTTTGTAAGCTGGGCTTTCGAGTGAGTTTGGCTTATTGTTTTTCCATTGAAAAGGCACTCTGCTGGAGTCATTAGTACAGGGTCTTAAAGCTTATTATTACGAGCCTGCACCTGCGTGCTTTTATTATATTTATTTAAGCAAAATACATTCATTCTCTTGTAGTTTTAGCTAGAACTTACCGCCTTTCAGCGAAGACACACCTTTCCATTAGACCAAAGGCTCATCAGCAATTTGATAGCTGAGTAAATGTAAAACAAATGCATTGGAAGGCACTTAGACTTGATATTTGAGAAGTTTGCTAGGCCTAGTTTGCCAGGCCTCTCCTTTTATGTGGCACAACAAAAGGCCAAAAGGCGAGTCCCTTTGGGGAGTTTTTGTCTGCTGATGACACGAACGACGTGTCCAAAATGCGGGCTTCAATAATTTGAGGTAAGTTTATTATGCAGATAAACCAAATGGGCACCTGATTCTGGCTGACTCAGCATTGAGTTTTTCCGTGCCACACATGGATACTGGGTTAGCCCGGAGCCTTAGGGGCGTTGCGATGGTCAACAATTGCCGGCAATCATCTAGGCAGTTACCTTATTACAACAACAATGGAGTGGCTGGGAAAACGTTGGCCATAACGGGAGTTATCTGACTGTAAATACATAATCTGCTGGCTGGGTGGCTGGCCCAAAGTGAACCCGTCGACGTTGCAGCTTCCTAGTTCCCAAAAGATTTCCGACGGCTTTTGCACCTTGAATACGGATTTGCTTTTATTGCCGCATCTTCCGGTTGCCCACTTCTGTGCACTGCAAAAAACTAAACTAAAAATGTAACATTTCATTTTACTTAGTGGAACCTTAAGAGGAACTTATTACTTATGAAATATTACTTGAATCACGACCTAAATATTATTACTTAAATAATAATTATTACTTATGAAATATTACTTGAATCACGACCCAAATATTATTACTTAAATAAATAGGAATTATAATTTAGGATGTTACTGCAAGAAATAGATTGATCAAAAATCTACACACGTTCCTTGTTGGATAGCTTATGTACTGATATGTATTTTAGTGAGCACTTTGTTGTCAGTGTGGTTTTCTCTTGCGTTTTTGTTGTGCTTTCCGCTTTTAGGGTTAAGCAGGTGCTTTATAAACCAAGCATCCAGGTGGGCGGCCTCCAACGGTAAATAAGGACAAATACCACGTAATGGGCAACCTGTGCGTGGCTGAAGCCCCATCGAGAAAAACCAGAGGGCCAGAGAGGATCCCTTTATTTCAGCAGCAGGCCGCTGGTAGGCAGTAAAATTTTCACCTTTAAATGGGTCCCCCAAGCGCAATCAAACGACTCTTGTCAGTCACATTTGTTATGTTTTCGAGGTGAAGACGGCAACGTGTCGCCAAAATATTGCTTCCATATTCATAATTACTTAGGCGGCGTGGCGATGTCAAGTCTGCCGACATCTTTCCGGGTCCTCAAATATTTATTAAGTGGCCGAAACAGAGTGGAGTGGAGTTGAAAATACTTTTCCCATAAATTCGACGCTATTGCGTTGCCTTAGATTTCGCATTCAAAGCAAAGTTCCTATGGCTTATTAAGGTCCAAAGTTTGCGATAGTTTCGACTATGCGAAAGCTTGTTTTAAGAGGCGATTAGCTTGTGCGTTCAACTTTATAAATTGAACGAAAGCTTGAAGTTTTTAATTGCATTGCATTTAATTACGGTTAGGATTTAAATCTTATCTTGTTTAATTACTGTAAAATATGTGAGTATGTGAAACAAATGCTGTACCAGTATTACTTCATAAAATTAGCTGATCTTTAGTTTAGTGATTTTGTTATAGGAAATACATGAATATAAATAACAAGCTTGCGTGTATTTCAATACTATTATTTTGGTTCTTATAAGTAAATAAATATTTAAATATAAATAACTTTAAGAGCTGCTAATAAATTTAGTAAGTATCTAAGAGTATTTTCGAAAATGAAATTTTGCACTCTGAAAAAGTATCATTCAGATATCCCCACAAATGGAAGTAACAGCCCCTCGAACTGGTCAAATATCAACTATTACTCACCACAAAGCAAATATAAATTGCCTGGCATAATCCACACCAGCACAACCACTACGAGCAGCCAGGACCACCAAAATCACATAATTCAAACGTGCATATATATGATTTAGAGAACACACACGAGCACACGTGAAGGGCAAACAGAAAACATGGAGAAACTAGAGGGAAAGCCGGCCGACATATTGAAATTCATAACTACGTACAGAAACCAATTACAATATCAATTTAAAAGGGATTAAAATGGCCCGGCCGGAGGCTTAGGCGGCCACCAACGCCACTCGCCATCTAAACTGGCGCTCCTGTTGGTCCTCCATGGTCAGAAGACGGCGCATTTAAGATTTGTTTCCTTGTAAAATTTGTGAAATTGCAAATTGTATTTGCCTGAGCCGTGGCGAAACCCAAAACTTTTAAATTAAATTCTAAGCTAGCAGATTTTCATAATAAATTACGAGTCTTACACGAGCATAATCAGCCATAATGCCATTGTGTAGTGTCAAGATATATTGTGTTCACCCTCAACAAGTGGCAAATTCTTTGCGATTCGGTGTGTAATCTTGCATAATTTATGCACCCTGCTGGTTAAATCAAAAATGCTGTACACAAGGAACCGCAATTTATACGATAGTATTGACCAGGCCAAGATGCAATTTGGCTAAGTAAAGATGCCGAGAAAGTGCAGCCTGATGGTGTGCAAATACGAGTAGACTAAAAACATAAACTGCAGACAAGGCTAAGCAGCTTGAATGCATTACATTTAAACGCTCGACTAAGCGGTTTAATTTGGAAAGTAGCAAAAAGCTGCGCCAATCTTTCATCCTTCGAGAATTCGCTTCCTCCCATCCGTCCACCCGTCCATTCATCGATTCGTCCATCCATCATGTCTATCAATGCCTGGGTCTTAGCCATGAGACAGATAAATCAGTTAAGCATCGTCATGTCAAGTTAACAGGCGATTACAAGGGCTTTACCTGACCAGATACGCAGCTTAAGACCACTGCAAAAGGTCAGGATGCGAGGATGTTTCGAAGAACCATTCGCCCAATTACTGCTCTTTCACTAGCGTGAACTATGGAATAGTTGCTTAAAACAAACTGCTTAGCCAATGTTATCCGTGAAAAGAACTCATTTTTGATTACCCTTTTAAGGCATATTATGAACTTAAGCAGATTCTGGCCACCAGAAGCGAGAGCAATGTGTCACATTAGCTGGCGATTACAAAAGGCTGTCTGCATGCATATATACACTGATATAGGATAACCAATAGTGAGTGGGCACAAGAGGATATCACGAAGGACAAGGAGGATGGAGGCCTGCAGACCTCGGCTTGTTGATAAAAGAAATTAAACAGACGGCGCTGGAATAAAAGGGAAAACACAGGAGCAAAGGAGAATTAAGCCCACAAGACAATTGACAATGGGTGGTCCTGAAAATGGTTCAAGGATTCAAAGGGGGTGTCCTTTTTGGCAGGGGATCTGTGGCATTTGTCTCGACTGTCTCGTTGACATGACGTTGCGCGAATTGTGCCCCATGATTGCTGTCGTGCGTTCTGTAGGCCGTGTTCTTGGTTTGCGAGTCGTCTGCCAACAAAGTGAGCAACACGCGCCGATGATTATGTTGCCGCTGACAACGACAACAACCACAGGAACAGCAGCAACAGCAGCAACAGCAGCAACACCAGCAGCAGCACCAGCAAACACCAAAAGCAACATCAGCAACAGACTTCTCCGAAAACGAGGCCAATTTTCGGAGTCCAGTTGGCGGCAAATGTCTTGTGGCACGAAGCTTTTCATTGACTAAAAGTGACGCATGCGCAGTTGGCCAGCCAACTTGGACTCCGATTCGAATTCAGTCCTCCGTCCTCAGTTTCAGTTCGTTTTTGTCACCCGTTCGTGCTGCACGGCACACGCGTCGTATGAGCGATATTACCTGCCATTTTAAGACTGCTTTATTGGATTTTGGCGCAAGAAGGCAAGAAAGCCGGCTAAAGTGTCCCTCGTGGGTGTGTGTGCGTGTGTTGCCGGAAATACTTTGAGCAATCGAAACGACAAGAAGCGAAATAAAAGAAAAAATATAGAACCAAAACAAAAGCCTAAGCAAATTAACTTGGCCCATTCGTTGTATTGCGAGTATTGTTCTGCTGGTTATATTATGTTTGGTTCTCTGCCCAGCCCTCCTGCCAGCACGAAAGTAGGTTAATTGACGTGTGTTGTGGGCGTATCTACAAGGAAAATAATATAAAAAAGTACCTACAAGTAGAAAAACAAATACCAGAGCAGCCAGTGAAGTGGTCGGTTGACCCTAGATAAATCAAAAGTGTGGACAGCAAGTCAAGCTAATAGAAGGTATGTCAAATGGTACTATTCATTGAATAATTCACTATGTCAAAATATAATATTGCTAAAAATACAAGTTTAATCAACACTGGCCGCAGTGTTAATTGTGTCATTGGCCAAAAATAAATCTACATAATGTGCCAATAATGGAGGTTCAATGCACTTGCAAATATCTATTGTTTTTAGTTGAACGAATTTTGTGCTGATTATGAGTTCTCACCTTGGCTAATTTTAATTAGTTTGTGCACTGAGCAAGCAACGATTAATAGGCAATATTATCCTGAAATAATATGAAGCCAAGTGTGGACGTAATTTTAAAGATAGTTCAATTTCGAACCTCATTGTTTTATATTTTAAAAACTTCCACATTAAAGCGATAAAATTTCCATTATCGGTTAATGAGATGAAATGTTGAATATTTTTATTTATGCTAGCAGAAGTTTGGCGGTGTTTTAAACTTTTTTAGCCAGTTTATTCCTTTTTTGTGGTGGGAGCTCTATATGTGAAAAATAGTTTCTTTTATTATTATGATGCGGCAATTTATGTATTCCTTTTATAGAAATTAAAATGCGGTATACTTTTTCGAATTACCATTTGAAAAAAGTTTCACATGCCAGTGCGACAATTGACACTGCAGCAAACAGAAAAAAAGGACATAATACAAAGGGGAATAACATTGCGTAAACTAAAATAAACATATGCAAAATAAACTTCAAACAAATGTGGCCGCACCGAGTTTTTGGCCATCAAAACAAACACAAAATAGGAAAAAAACATAAAAAACGAAGAAAAAGCAAAGTGAACAACGCGGGGAAGTGGGTTCATGGTCGGTTGCGATTTGGTGCCTTAGAGGCAACTTTGTTGCACAAAATTTATTAATTTTTTTCGCCAAGTGTGTGCTTGTGTGTGTGCTGGGTGTGTGTGTCAAATTTAAAAGCATTCTTGCCCGTTGCCTTTGGACGGGCGATGTCCTGGCAGCTGCCTTTTTGTTTTATTATTTTGCGGAAGCTGCGAACCAACATTTATAAAAAGGTTTTTCTTGCTCGTCCTGCTACGTGAGCCGTGCACACACACACACACAACAAACATGCTCACACCCACAGACGCACATTGCTGTGCATTACCGTTATTTTATGACGGAAGTACATTTAAGCAGATTTTTTCTCACAGAACTCCCGCTCCCTTCAACCGAACTGGAAAAAAAGGGCTGCCAAATATGTACAAAAAAATTGGAAAACCGAGGAAATTTAAATATTTTCTTTTACGCTGTGCTTTTCATTTGCCAGTCCCGCTAAAATTTATGGCCAACAAAATTGGAATATTCCCCAAAACAACAGCGGCAACAATAAAGCCAAGACAAAGTTCGCTTCGATAGCCATAAAAATAAGAAACCAAGAAACCTTTACGACCCGTTTCGATGAAAAATACCTATTCAGAAATTCATTCAAGTAGGAAAACATTGAAACACACGATCAAGTGAACAACTTCATTTTTTTGCTAGATTAGTTTCAATGGGGTGTATTTTATGGTCATGATTTCTTAAATGATTTATTCATTTCAACTGTGGTATTAAAGTCATATTAGAATGTTCGATGGCATTTCATAAAATATATACTGTGTCATTCCTCAAATTGAACACACGCAGTTATGAATATGATAAGTACCATAACCAAATACTTTTCAAATTCCCTCCTCCACACCCTAGGCACATATTATATTAATTGAAATTTAATACAATTACCAGGCGAATGTGTGGAAAGCCAAGTGAAAGTCGGCAGCCAAAACACACATAAATTCAGCCCACACACACATTCAGCGTGGGAAAGGCGAGGAGATTTCTTGCCAAGTAAGTGACTCAATAAATAAATTTACTTGCCAACTTTTTGCCTTGTTGTTGTGGCCTTGGGGGACTGACTGTTGCTTTCTCAAGGTAGATTTCAGTTGGCAGGCTCTCCCCGTCGAAGGATCTGAAAAATACTGGGCCCGTAATAAACAACACTTGATCGAGGACGGGCCACAAAGTTAAGTGTGCTTTACTGGGGTGCGCGAAATAAATTTCAGGAATTTAACCAGATGCACGAGAATAGCAGGAGTCCATTCTTTTTCAAGGGATAGGAATACTAGAAATTTAAGTTAAATGCTGAGGTATAATGTTTACTTGAAATTAATGGTTGTGCTGTTCCATTTGCTGCGATTGTTCTCAATTAAGCAGGAATGCCATTTGGTCGTTTCTATCTGTTAAAGTAATTTAATGAACAAATGTCTCTTAAAAGCTGTATATATTCAAAAAATTAGATGTCTCCACACCATCTTCCAATTTGTGACGCCGACTTTTCACTTATTTTTCATGAGCCACTTGAAGCACTGACTTATAGCACGCCAAGCATTATGATCTGATCCCAGAGAGAGTGAGATTGCTCAAGAATACAAACTTAAATTTGCACAGTCTGGGGGACATCTGAAAAACAAAGAATGGGGGAAAGCGCAGCTCGCGCTTTTATTAAGTAAGTGAGCTATTCAAAATCAAAGCCGTGGAAAAATCCGCATCGCCAAGGGGCGAACGGTGTGGCAGAGTGTGTCCGCCGATTGTCAGGCAAATGTCAAGCTCAAGCTGCAGGCGCCTTTCAGCTTGTCTCACGTCTCGTTTCGGCCCCTTTTCCGCATTTCCCGCAGATTTCCCAGCACCAGCAGCAGAAGCAGCCACTTTCACCTGCACTTGCAGCTGCACCTGCCACAATGTGCAGACATTTATGGCACCAGATGCCGCCGGCAGCAGGCAAATGCCTTGGCATCCTTGAGTGGCATTGCAATGGCATTTCCAGGGCATTTCCGTGGTGCGTTTGCCGGAGCGATGAAAGCGCATTAGCTTTGTCATTTATCGTTGCATACAATACGCCATCTTTGTTGCCAATTTGAAAGGGCAGCACGAATGAAAGCTTAAAGTGCATACAATCAGAGTTTAAGGCCTGCATTTCTGAGTTAAGGCTAACTTTGCTTTTATTCAATTTGAACTTAGCTCTTTGTCTCTGAGTCAATTTACATGTGAATAGATCAAATTATACAGTGGGGTATTTCATGATTTTCAAGGCTTATGCATATAGTTTGCCTTTCCATATTATATTTAAAATATTTATTATATTCATATGTTAATTTTTTAAGGATGTTGAAAGTTTAGTAGATCTGTGTAGGCTATTTTGGGCTTACTGCTGTAGTTATACACCAACACTTAATGTCTTATATTATTTTAAGAGCATGCATTTATTCAGAATTATTGTAGCTGCCCATTATGCCCAATTGTGTTCATTTAACTTCTGCAAAATTGGTTCAGCCTACTCCACTGTCCACTTTTATTCTCAATATGCATTGTAGGGCGTTTCTTTGTGTCGTTGCTGTTGATGATGTGTGCTGGCATATTTTGCTTATCAAAGTGCCAGGGACAGACATCGAGCGAAGAGAATGTTGGCTTTGGCCATCGGAAAAGTCAAGGTTTCAAGCCACGTTTCGTTGGCTGCATTTTCATAGGCGCTAATAACAGGCTTGAATTTTCACTTTTCAGCATTCTAATACATTTTGTATGGGCAAACGCAGTACCCTTTCACGTTTTCACCTGTCGCCCCTTTGTGCATAAACAGTGTGAGCAATTTTATTGTGTGGAAAATTCACTTGCTCACAGGAGACGGTGGGGGGCAGAAAAACACGTGCATAATTTAAAAATGCATGCATCACTCATACGCAGCGTTGCACGCTCCTTGTGGGCAGGATATTCCGTGCCTGGCGGCCAAGGTAACAATGGAAAGGTCGCAGTTCCGACGTAGTCAGAGTTTGTCTGTCGTTTTGTTAGCTCTGGTTTCCATTTTCAGTTTAGTCATTGTTTGTTTTAAACTATCTATTTTGGCTGAACGGTTGCTTAGCTTTACGGATTGGTGTGGTATTTACAGAAATGTGTCAATTTCGGGTTTGCACAAAGTTTTGATATGACTGTAAATCATTTCAGCTTGATGGAGTGTGCTACTGCCTTAGGTGTGGGAAGAAAGATTGAGACTATTATATGTTCTTGTTTGCATTAAAGTTGAATTTGAGCATAAATCTTCTTGATTATTTTTCCATGGTTTATTCAAATAAAAGAGCTCTCTTTAGTTTGGCCAGCTTACTCTGCTAAAAATTCTTAAATTCTCTTTGAATAAAGGCCAAATCCTTTTCAATTGCCAGCGAATCCCCGAGTGCCGCCTGACAATTAAAACGACCCGAAAAATGCGAAATACGAGTGGTTAGTGAGCGAACCCCACTCGAATGCAGCCAACCATGAAAGCGCGTTAAAAAAGCATTGCATGCACATGGCCGTTTTGTAGCCCCCAAAACCCCACAGCCCCATCAAATATGCATGTAAAACACCGCACAGCAGGCAGAATGGAGCAGGAGCAGCTCAACAATTTCGCCTGCGGACAAGGTCCCGCAAAAAATCGAGAAAAAATATAAATCTTAAATGCCTTGACATGTGTTCACCGAAAAAAGCTGCAGCTTATAAAAAATCAAGAAGCGAAAGGTAAACTATGGCTCCAAATACTCTTGCAGATTATGGAGCAGCTTAGTTTCACCAGAAGTTGTGCAATTCCAGGGAATTGATAGTTTTTTTCACACTTGCCGCCTTACAAACATGAAAATATTTTCTCATAGGCAAAGCTAGTTCCCTGGAATTTTATACATATACAACTCAAAATCTATAAGATCCACTCTAGTTTGATAAACAAGTGCTGTTTCTTAGCAACTATATATCAAATTAATGTATATAATATAAATAATAATTATAATATCAATAATATCAAAGATAAACATAGTCATAATTTTCTTGTAATAATACTGAATGTTACAAATTGACACGTCTCTAATTAACATTTTTAAAATCTCTCTCTTTATACTCGTACTTAAAAAATATATGTATTTTATTGGTATTAGCCAATGGCTATTTCAAGAAATTTATGGAGAGAGCAAAAGTGGAATACTTCAAACTA